CTTTCGGAAAAAATGAGCCCTTCGTTAGAGAGTCTGCTGTCCAAAACCATTAAATTTTATTTGTGCGTTTTCTCCGTCATGCAGCATGGAATTTCGCTGAAATTTGACTATAGGTAGTCAACCATGCTGATTCCGAATATCAACATGAGACGGACCGATAGGCCTCCAGAGACCGGTTTTCTGGAAAACTGGTTTTCCAAAAATTCCAGAGAAACACCAAAACGTTTCTTAATGAGGCATAATTGTAGCCCGCACATTTCTGATTAAAATGAGAATTCTCCCGGCTCTAGATCCATATTCAGCTCTGGATCCATATTCAATTCTGCTGAATAGGAGTAGAATTCTGGAATTGTAGGAATTCTGCGATCCCTCATAAAAAAGCTTTTAAATGTTGTATTATGAGAATGGTCACATCAACTACTAGTAGTGAATGGAATATCGATACAAATAAACTAATTGTATATTATTATCATACGGCATGCTATTATCATAAAACGGTTAAATTTGAATTAACATCATTCTATCATGAACGAGTAATTGATATTGGAATTGATCAAATGAATTGTAGATGTGTACTGGTATTATATTCTTCTCTTGTTAATGTTTATTATAATACGGAAAATTTTGAAAAAGTTATCGTATTTTTTGTAAAAAATCCGTTGAAATCATTTTAGAAAAAGATATAAATGTTGTCGATGATTTTTTAATTTGAATATATTGTCAAATTGTTATTGCTTGTCAAAAAAATAAGAATAATGAAGAAAGTGCTGAATAGTTAGAAAAACTTGAATGTATTTACAAAATAAAACGAAATCATAGTAATAATCCAGTAAACACGGACTCTAATATGATTGCAGTTTATAACGATCTTGCAAAAGTTCATGAAAATGAAGAACAATATCCATTCGCTGTTCAATATTATGAACAGATTATTGATATTCAACTCAAAGAAAATCATTCATTTGTCTATAATATGCACCAAGGTAACAATAACACCTTGCTACAGCTTCGTTTATCATTAAATTACTACCAGTATCATATATATATTTAACTTTTTTTAATGTTGAATTGCTTATTGAATATCTTTATTGTATAGATATGCTGATCCAATAGCTAAATATACTTCCCATAAACTTACATC